TTTATATTTTAAAATATTATCTCTCTAAGAGACAATGTTTTTTAAATTCACAGTAAGGGATAGCCATTTGATCAATGTACTTCTATCCATAATCCAGGGCATTCCTTTTCCAATATCAAGTACCTTAGAGTGAAAAAAAAAAAAATGCTTTGGAGCTCAGAGTCCAGGAAAGTGGACAGTAAGTGTCTTGTTTTTCTATTAAAAACTCATGATGAAAAGAACATTAGGTGAAAAGGTTATTCTTTAAGCTATAGATTTGCCATCACAGTTTTAAATGTTGACTATAGTAGTTATATACACTATCCTTATTTATTTTCTAGAAGTCACAAAATACAGAAAGAAAGAAGAAAAAAAAACACTTAAGCTGAAGAAAGAGAGGAAAGCTGCTCGAGCTCAGACACCTGGAAGTACCTTTTTGAGAAAAGGATGTCCACTCACTGGCTTCATCAGCTGGACAGGCTGGACACGAAGCTTCTTCCATTCTTCATTGAGGATCCGGGTTTTTTCTTGAACCTCGCAAAATTTGCTACATACAGAGCCTAGCAAAGCCAAGTTAAAAATCAGTAGTAGGATTTAAGAGAAGAGCTAAAAATAAATCCAACTCCTCCAACATATTAAAATATGTAAGCTTTCACTTATATATTTTTTACCTTTGCACCCATGTTTGCCTGAAGCCGTTTAAGTTGTCGAAGTCGCATGTATTCAGATTTAACTTTTCTTTTCCAATAAGTGATACATTTGGAAGTTGGGGGATTTGGTATGTCCATTTTGCTATAATCTAAGAGAGAAAGAGTTAAGAAATAGCATTTTATTGCCTGGAAATAAAAACATTTCCAAAAACTCTAATCAACATGACAATTATGCTTTCATTCTCATTGCAATTATTCATAAAGTGTAAGTTTAAAAAACTCAAACCTACAAAAGGTTAATTAAAAAAGATTTCATATCAGCACAATCTGATTAACCAAAAGCTTAGCCTCTGTCCTATGGGACCTTGCTTTTACCTTAGCATCAAGGAGTTCTCTCACAAAGATTAGGAACCTGGATTATGTGGAAATTTGGAACCTACTCACTATCTTAATTAGAAGAAATGTTCAGCAAGAATCAAGTTAAATCACAGAGCTTCATGGAAAGATCCACCCACACTACAAACCTGTACCTGTGCCAAATTAACTTTATCTTGCTTATGACTAACAATAAAAGTTGGATATGACAAACAGCATAGTCTCATCTCCAAGTCAGCAAAAAGACACAAAGAAAAATATGTTAATCCTGCAAATAGCTTTTTTATTTGTTTTCGTATTTGAATTAAGTTTCAAAATTTTAAAGAAAGTTCTTATTGTAATAAACTCTACCTACCTCATGGAATGCAGGGGAAGTGTCGGGGTTTAAGATGTGCCTTCTGTTCTTCAGAGGAATAGCAAGACACAAAGGCAAAACAAACGTTCAGCTTCTCAAAAAAAATAGACAGCGGTTTTACTAAGTCAGTGGAATATATACCCTCAGTGAGATGCTTTCCCTGATCTACAAAGACTTCCAGACCTCTGCACCACTATTTCTGCAAGTAAGTCAGGTCCGAATACTTGATGCCATTTGGGAAGGGGCCTTAATTTTATTAAATTCTATCCTTCAGTCATGTGTACAAATTTAGTCCCATAATCACTAAGTCCACAGTACTATTCTGAAACAACTTCTAGGTCCAGGCATCAGTCCGAACAATTTAGAGAAAGAACATTCAAATACATGTAAAAATTCAGTAAGATCTCTAAGACTGTTCTTACTCTATGTTTAACTACTCAGGTTTCCTAAAGAACTAGGTCTATTCATTTCACCTAACATTTTACATTTCTGAAAATATTATAAGGAGCAGTAGAGAGTGGAAATTTAAACAGAAACCAAAGTTTCAGAACTTGTTTTTTTAATTTCTGAAAAAGTTTTTTCTTTTGAAGCTTAATATTCAATTCCTTCTAAAGAAGCATTTTTTATTATCTATTTCCTCCCAACCCCTGGATAAGGACAGCACAGACTAGAAAGCAGCAAAACTTAACCCACATGTACCACAATCAGATCATGATTATATCTCACACTCATGGACTTTTAAGAGGAACATATCTGAATAGCTCATTGGAAGAACCAATGGATAGGTATGAAACTAAGTTAAATTTAGAGGACAAATGAAGGAAGGGAGGAAGAGCAGAGGAGTAGATAGACTGTGTTCACTGTTAACTTAGTCAAGTGATCCAAACCATTCAAAACAGAATTCCTTGTTCTACCTTATCTCTCCAAGGAAAGGGAATGAAACAACAATACATCTAAGAATTTGAAATCAGAGTGCTAAGGTGTTGAATTGAAAACAAAATTAAGCAGACTGCATTTCTATCCTCTAGATTATACTCTCTCTCTCTCCCCTACACATCTTTAAATAATTCCCATTCCTCTATGGAGTAGGGCAAAGAAAAGACTTTATTTGAATGTTAAAATTAAGTACACCACACTCACATGCAATATTAAGTAGCTGATCACATAATTTCTGCCCTGAATAGGCTTAGTAATAGCCTGCTGAATTTGTGATTCACATTCAGGATAAAACTGTCTGCCTTAGAAACTTTGGGTTACCCTTACAGAGACACAGTGGCCCAAATGTTATAGATTGTAATTCAATGAGACACCATAGCCTCCTAAAAAAAAGATTTGGTGGACTCCCTGGTGGTACAAGGGGTTAGGACACAACATATGAAGCTATCCGCAGCCATTGCAGCATGAGTTCGATCCCCGGCCAGGGAGGTGACCCACATGGCGCAGCAGACCTCTCCTGCCTTGCCCGCTGCTCCCCTTAGCAGTGTATTTCAGTACATCTGCCTGTTCTGCTCCCCATTCTGTCTCTGGTGAATCTTCTCACCCACCGCATCTCTGGCCTGCACCTGGGCTTTTGTATGCATAAATAAATAAATCTTAAAAAAAAAAAGATTTTGGACTATAATCTCTCTCCCACTCTTTCAGAGTTAAATTTCCCTTCATCAAACAGTATGCTTAGGAAGGTTGCTCCATCCATTTAAAACTAGAGATCAAATAATGGAAAAGAACATAATCCACAACACAACTGTGTGTGTGTGTATGTGTGTGTGTGTGTGTGTGTTTTCTTAAAGGAGACAGCCACAGAAAAATATCAATATTTTTATTAGAGAAAGGATATCACTGAAATTTGATCTCCTATAGTCTTGTCAAAATGACAGTAAACACATCACAATAGTCCAACAATTAATGGCACCATTTCTAATTTTATGCAAGTGTTTTATTTCCCAGAGGACTATACACATATACATGAAATGCCACTAATTTTTAACCATTAAGCCACAATGTAAAATAAGTCACACTTCTTTCTTTTACAATTAAAGTGGTATTTGAACCTCATGTGACCATGAACCAATATTTATTTTGCTTGTTTTTTTTAATAGGTCTGCAATGTCTCTAAAATTTTATTTGGCAGCTGGTCAGTCCCCAGAGTGTATGAGGAAGACAAGACATACTGTTTGGAACAGACAGATATGATTTAAATAAACACCTGAAACACAGCCATTAAATGGGTTCTCACAGCATCTGGATGCTAACCAATAATTCTCACTGCAAAGATTTTTCTTTTAACACAAACGAAAAATTCTGTATTTACTAGAACAGCGTTAGAGAAATGGATTCAACAGAGACACAGTGGCCCAAATGTTATATTTTGCCCAAGGGCAAAATATTTTCGTACACAAAAATATTTTATATTTCTACTACATCTGTTCTTTAGATATTTACACATACAAAATAGCATTTATATCCAGCTTAGTACCAAGTTAATACTTAAGATTTCATTGTACCCACTTATACATTGAAAATAAACTCAAAAACATATGCTGTTTTGGTCAATAATTTGAAAATACAACTTTATGTAATTCTAATTACTTGATAATAAGATAAACAACTTAATAAAAAAATGGATAAAATTTTGACTAGATTATGTCACCAAAAAAAGATATCAGAATGACAAGCACATAAAAAGATGCCCAATATCATTAGTCATTAGAGAAATGCAAATTGAAACCACAACAACATACTATTACATACTAGGTTGGTAAAAATCAAAAGATTGATAATACATTCGTGAGGATGAAGAGCAACTAGGATCCTCATACATTGCTGGTGGGAATGCAAAATGGGATAGCCAGTTTGGAAAAGTTTGTCAGTTTTTAAAATAAATACTTACCATGAAGTCTGGCATATAATTGCTAATTATTTATCCAAGAGAAATGGAAATACACATTCCCACAAAAAATCTGTACGCAAGTATTTGTATGTAGCATCTTTATTGAAAACAGCCAAAAAGTAGAAATCACACAAATATCTATGGATTTGTGAATGGATACAAAGCTTTGTAGAGTGTGTGTGTGTGTGTGTGTGTATATGTGTATGAGTATGTACATACTATACATACACACACACAGTGGAATGCTGCTTAACAATAAAAATGAATAGTTTCCATACATGCAAAATCTCTCTCAAAAACACACAATGTGAAAGAAAACTACCTGTGTGATTCCACTTATATAGGACATTCTACTGGAAGGATTCTAGAAAGGGCAAATCTACAGTGACAGGCAGCAGCACATCAGCGGTTGCCAGGCCTGGGGAGGGAGAAAGGGAGTAAATGAGAAGGAGCATAAGGGAACTTTTCAAAATTATTAAAATGTTCTTCATCTTGGCTGTGGGGATGGTTATCTGACCATGTACTTTTATGAAAAATCACTCAACTATACATAAAATGGTGAATTTACTGTTGTAAATTGGCCTCAATAAAACTGATTAAGGAAAAAAAAGTCTTCGTGATGATACAATCAATGCATTATTTTCTAGAGACTTTTACTATTAAAAATACATAGGCAATTCACCCTTTGGAAAAAAAACTTTTGAGTCACTTCAGAATGAATAATACAGCAGAATGATGAATACTGGTTCATTGGCTGTAAAAAATGTTACAGGTATACTAATATGTTAATAATAGAGGAAACTGGACACAGGGGTTTATAGGAACTCCTTGTACTATTTTTATATATTTTTTGTAAATCAAAAAATGCTCTATAAAAGTTTATTTTTTAATTAAAAATCTTAATGTATAATTGGAAATAAGAACTACCTTATTTACATGTTGAATTTCTACAGGAAAAGCAAGCTATAAGAATATAGAAATCTTTCCACAGAAAATCTATCTCAAATTGCTTCAAAGGAACTATGAGTAGAATGTAGTCAGTCACTAGTTGGAAATGGTAAAACATTACTGAAATTGTTTGGAGATAAAACATTTAAGGAACAATATTCTTAAATTTGGAAAGATTAGAATATAAAAGTTCCAAACTCTTAAGTTCTTTTATCTGTATAAATGTGCTCCTTTGCAGAAATAGCTTCTCTAGGGACAACCTTAATGTATTTATGATTTTCTCCTTTATAATAAATAATCTTACTAACCAACAGGTTATGTAAGGCTTTGGCAGCACAAGATTTTTAAAATTTTCCATCTCATTTTTTTTCAGTTCATGATGGAGCTGAAATATGAATGGTAGGTAGGAACAAACCTACCTCCGCAAAGAGCTCTAGTAACAGATAATAAAATGATGACATCAACATACCATTCAAACATGTGGCTGCATGCACAGCCTGATTGATCCTTCAACTAGGATCTATGAAAGTACATCTTTAATTTATACCCTCCCATTTCTCCAAGGTATTTACATTTGTTAGTTTGGGCTTCTAGGTGCTATACACACAGAAAGAGCCTTACTCATGGGTAGCTGTAAGCCTGAATTGTTACTTAAAATGAAATTATTCTATTTAAATTACTTATTTTATTTAAAATAAAATGAATGTGTTCTAACATTGCTTTACCTAGAGAATCAGGTCATTTGCACTGGAGACAACAGTAATAAAAATCAAAGCAGAATTAGTTTTCATGAGATGCCAAGGAAATGCTGGCTCTTAGGGTGAACAATGCTGATTCAGGAAAGTTATAGCAATTCCCTAACAGGCTACAATCGGACCTTGGCTGGTCCTCTCTCATGCTAGTAAAAAAGTTTAATATTTAGCGAGTATTCTCTATCATTCAACAAAAGCAAGACTTTTTATTCTTTTTTGTCTCAAAGTCTTAAGGCAAGTGTGTTAGAGACATTGAACTCCAACTACCCATTAAGTGACTCACAACTTCAAGGTGAAGTCCCACAGACAACAGACTAAAGATATTAGGAAGGAGCCCAAAACACAGTTCTCAAATTTCTTTTTTTAAGCTGGGGCTTTTCTGGGATGGAGGTACTCTCTTAAGAACAGGTTTTCCTTTTTAAACCCTGACCCCCTCCATCCCTACCTGCCTGGTATCATACCTTTTCTCCACGTTTTCTTTTCCTTTTTTTTTCCTTCCTTTAAGTTAACAAAGTAGAAACTTTTTAAACACAGTTCAACACAGGAAAAAGATAAACTTAGTGAAATGAATTGTTACATGTTTCACATAAGGCACAGATCAAGGGCGAGAACTGTAACCCACAGGTTTAGGAAGCCAAACTTCAGATCTCAAGAATTAAGCAGACAAAATATTTTAGTTTTTTTTTAAAGGCATGCTAATTCAATAGCAAGGAGCACAAGAGAATGAGTTCAACTACATTTTCTTACCCTTTACTTCTCACAAAGGTCTTCTCACGAATAAAATTTCATTTTTTTAATCCCAGCCTCCTTAATCTTTCAAAGAAAACTGAAATAACACCATGATGAAGAGATCATTTGTGTCCCTGGAGTCTTAAAACTGTGCCTTACCATGATTGACCTATTATAAGTGCCCACTAGTTAGTGTCAGGACTGGGATCCAGCTCTCCCCACCCCCAGAGATTTCCCATTATTTATTTATTGCACAAATAAGTATTGAATTCCTACTGTGTGCCTGGCACTGTTTTAGGTGCGTAGAATACATCAATGAATAAAACAAACACTCTGATCTGGGAGAGTTAATTCACACGGTGACACACACTGTGCATAAACCTTCAGAGTATCGCTATATTTTTATTAATGGTCCTTTCCTCTATCATAAATGTGTTAAAAAAAAAAAAGCTTATCTCCCAACACACACTATCTTCTATGTAAGTGATCTCTTTTATCAATGCCACGCCATCCCGGCCTCGGGAATTCCGCTGCTTAAAATAACAAGCTCCCACAGCCACCTCTGATAGATTTCACACCTTCTCAGGTTAGAAACTTCATTCAATGCTGCTTTCCTAAACTTAAAAGTACCGGGCAGGTGGGTGGGCAGGATTTTCTCTCCAAAGACATCATGGCAGCAAATGTAGAGGAAGAGACCCACACTTTTATTGCCGTCCTTGCACACACCCCGGCTCTTTTCCCTCACCCTCACCGCCACCCCCGGCGCCGTCCTAAACTCCCCATCCAGGCCACCCTCTTTACAACCCTATACTTCATCCATCCAAAGCCCACTCCCCATGCTCCCCGGGCGGCACTAACATCCCCCCACACCCCTTCCCTTCCCCACCCCGCAAACAATTTCTCAGCAGTCACTTTTTACCGAAACAACTTTGTCCCATATTTCCTAAAAGGCATCTCCCTGATGCACCTTGTCTTGCTTCCAGGCGCTTTCCTTTATATCATTTGCTCCCCGGGGAAATTCTGGGGTGCGCAGGGACTGGCGCGAGACCACATCTGGAGACAAGCCTCTTAGGGCCGGGACTGGGGTGCGAGGACCCCAGCGCGCACACCGTCCGTGACCCGCACGACCCCGTGAGAGCCCCCTAACATTCTGCGCCTTAGGAGCCTCGCTCGCCTCACCCTTATCCCGGCACGGTCACCCCCTTCTCAAAATCCCCCAAAGTCATCACAAACGGAGCCTCCAGGTCAGGCCCTCCCCGCGCACAGCCCCGGGTCCCCCCGAGTCCGCTCCGCTCAGGCCCCCGCAGGTGCCGCCGCCCACCGCGCGCCGGAGCGGGGCTCCCGCCCACAGCCCACCCCGCCCTCCAACGGGATTCCCCGGCCGGGCCCGCCCCCGCCGCGCCTCCCGCCGACACCCCGCCTTCCGGGTCCCCAACGCGGTCCTCGCGGGGGCTCTCTCGCCGGGTCACCCCGTTTCCCCCAGTCCTCCGAAGCGGGACGGGAGGTTCCGTTGCCCCCGGCAGGACAGGCAGTGTACCCCTCCGCCTCCCCCCAATTCTCTGATCCCCTCGCCTCTCCCTCCCTCAAGCCCGGGTGGCGCGGTGCCGAGGCCGGCCCCACCGCCCGGCCCGGGCTTGTTTACTCACTCACCCTCCATCCCGAGCCGCAGGGACTCGCCGCCAGCACGCCTGCGCGCCGCGGCCACGCCCCCGCGCCGCGGCCACGCCCCGCGCTCCTGCTGGCGCCTGCGCGTTGCCGCCCGCGCCCGCGGCTCGGGCCACCTGGGCTTCCTCGTTTGCCCGTCGGTGGTTAGGCGCCGGTGTCCCCGGCTCGGGAGTCCGAGGGCTTGCTGCCGGTCCCGACGGCGCCAAGGCAGTGCTGTAAGGAGACTGGAAGGGATGACTTTCGAACCTCTGATGTCTTGTTGTGGACCTTATCCAGCAGTTGCACCGTCTCCACGGACTTGTGATAAGCCATATGTCACTTCAGCCTTTGGAGTCAACCTGGAAACCCCTTTACACTGAACCCTCATAACTACTAATACCCCAAACACCCGTATCAGAAATCTTGGTTTATTTATACCTGGCTTCCCTAAAGTTTGCTCAATCAGGTAGACTGAAATTAGTAACCATGTATCAAAGCTCACAAGATACCTATGTTACAAAGGGAAAAATAGTAACTTTCCAGGGGGAAAATCTGACAGATACCACTTTTTTTTTAAAATAATAAATTTTATTTTTATATTCCCCATACAATTGCAACCCCCCCATTTTGACCCCAATCCCTCCCCTTCCGCCCCCACCCCCAAAAAAGTATCTCTGGTTCATAGTTTTTTGTTGATTTTGATTTTCACTTTCTTAGAGTTATTCATTTTCCTGGTCCCTTATTTAAGTTTTCTAGATTCCTGCTATGAGTGAGACCATCCGGTATTTTTCTTTTTCTTTCCTGACAGATACCACCTTAACCAAGTGATCCACGTTAACATCACTAGTGATGAGAGAGATTCTTATTAGGTACCTCTCAATGTGATGCAGAGAGCACAAAATCACTTCTCGAGTATTTTGAAATGCTAAATTGGAACTCTGTAAATTTAGTCCTGAGGATGCATCAGACAAATTCAAAATAAGGGACAATCCACAAAATAACTGGCGTGTATCTTTAAAAATGTCAAGGTTGTGAAAGACAAAGAAAAGATGAACTGTCTCAGGAGGAGTCTGAGGAGACATGACAACTAAATAATGTGTGATCTTGCACTGAATCCTGGTCCAGGAAAAAAGATATTAGATGGAAAATTGAATAAGCCTATAGATTAGTCAATAGTATTTTAATTTCCAGCTTTGGGAACTACATTTTCTCAACTTTTGAGGACGTTGACTGAAAGATGAACAAGAACTCTGCCATTTGCAAGTCTTTTATAAATCTGAAAGTATTTCAAATACAGAGGAAAAAATTAAAATACAAAAATAGTAAAATTATCCTAAATTTGTTTCAAGTCTATGTTTTTCATTTTTTGGAATAATCTTCTGAACAACTCTATTAATTAAGTAGGGAAGATTTGAATTTTATACACCAGGCTATTCTGGTATAAAGAAGTCAGAAGACTGTCCTTACGCAGGTGAAAACTTGTTCTATCAGGTCTTAAACTCAGGTCTCTGATTCCAAATTTAGTTTCCTTTTCCTTATATAAGAACCATTGAATTTGATGTTTTCCTCTTGCCTCTATAGATTAACTACCAAATCAAGGCAAATGGTCCTTCAAACTTGGCAATTTTCAATGATTTTCCTTTCCTTTCCTGCCACCCTTTATATTAATAACTCTCCAACCTGGCTCACTTTGAAATCATCTGGGGAGCTTTAACAACTAATGATATCTGACTCACTTCCAGTGAGTCTGATTTATTGGTCTTGGCCATAATATTATAATCTATGCTTGAAGACTTTTAAGGGTGTCCCCAGTGCTTACACTGTGTAACCAAGTTTGAGAACCATCACGCTACATAGATAAGTACTGAAATAAAGAAAGTGGGTTTTAAAAGATGGAGGTGGATGGTGAGTTAAAAAAAAATAGATTGAGGGGCCTCCCTGGTGGCTCAGCGGTTGAGCGCTGGGTTGCGAAGCTGCCCGCAGCCTCTGCACCGCCAGTTCGATCCCCGGCTTCTCCCCGGCCACCGGAGGAGGGTCCCGCATGGCGCGCAGACCTCTCCTGCCGCCCGCTGCTCCCCTCAGCAGTGTACCTCGGTCCTTCTGCCTGCTCTGCTCCCCGCTCTGGCTCTGGTGAATTCTCTCACCCTCCCGCGCTTCTGACTGTACCCGGTGCTTGTATAAATAGATAAATAAATCTTTAAAAAAAAAATAGATTGAGTGATCAGAAGAGGGATATTCAGAAGATATGAATGTCAGGACTGAGACTGGAGATTTGGGAGCTGTCTAGATATCCATAGTAACTAATATCACAAGAGTATTGATGGTAGCTAACACCATTGGGGTGGACTACATTACTTTAGGAGAGTCGAGTGACAAGAGGAGAGCTGTAAAAATGTGACAACAAAGAAAATATGATTACAGAAATATTTTGAGGTAAAAAAGAAGGAGGTTGAGGAGGTTTATGGCAAAGCCATAAATCAGAGCCAAGACTAGCTCAAGCTTCACATCCTCATTAAGTCTTCCAGAACTCCCAGACCTCCCTGGGCTTATACTCCAAGTCACTTTACACTCATCACCAAGCTGTACACCTCTTTCACATCTGCACCACACTTAGCATAGGACTAAACCTGGGTCTAGTAATCCTTGCTCACTGGAGAATAACAAAAATAAATTTCTACCTCACCAATAAGCATAAGGCTCTTGGGAAAAATGTGTTTGCCAATCAGTTCCTTCTTTTGGTGATGGGAAAGAGTTTTCCCAAGAGCGGTCTCTTTATTAGCTGACCATGATCCATGAGACACTATCAGCCAACTCTGTTTGGCCAGCCTTTCTCTGTAACTTTTTCTTCCCCAACCCCTCAGGTATTTGTCCTATAAATTCATAGAAAATCTGTTGGCAAGTGGTCAGCAACTGGACCTTTGAAAAACTATACCATCACCCCTGCCCCAGTCCCCCCAGCCCTGCCTCCCTGCAGTTAATAAGAGAAAGGAATAATTGTGTCACTTCTGGCTTCCAGTTGCTCATCTTGCTCTTAAATTGGAGGCCTCTGGGGCTAAGAGAAACTGGACAAAGTGTGCTGAATAGTCTAATAGGAGTGGTTCTTTTTCTGAAAGCTCCCTGTTGTAAAAAAAAAATAATAAATAATAAAGTTATGTGTTTAATTTCTGAAACCTGATGCCTGATTTGCTTGGCAGCCATTCTCCCAGTTTTGGCTGAGAGTCCAGCAACACTAGTATACTGATTAATACCAGCTCAACTCGCTCCCTGGAGAAGAGATTATTTCCTTGACCATTTTTCTTAAATCCTTTTAACTTGCCTGGATCTTAGCATGCTCTTGTTGGCTTTACTATGCTGCATTTCTGACCTGGCTCCAGTGAAGCTGTAGATAAGAGGGCTCTGCCCTGTGTACTCCATCCCCATCACAAAGCAAGATTTTGTTCAACCCAGTGATTAGAAATAACATGTCACGTGTTCTAGTTCTTCTGAAACAGGCAAGTTCTAAATGTATTTTTGTTCCTTGATGATCTTCAGCCACTGCTAGAAAGGGAAGGATATGATGCTTCCCAGAATCCATACAGAGCTCTCTGCACCCTTCCCTGCTCCCTTTGGATTGGCGACCCCTTGGCTCTTTCAGCCCATCCCTTGTAAGGCCCACAGGGATATTAAATAGCATTTCTTTGAAAGTACCCAGAGAACTGAGGAAAGGTTGGGCCCCAGACAGTCCCTGACCAGGAAGTATAAACACAGCTGTGGAGATGGGAGCAAATCATCCTCCCTCCCCCACTAGATCCCACCCAGAAGCAGGGAAAGGCCACCCCACTGTAGAGAAGCAAACAACAAAACAAAGCAAGGCACAACCTAAAAGTCTGCATGAAGGTCACCAGAAACTGGGGCTGCTGCCCAGGCCTTGGTGGGGCCAGCTGAAGTGCCAGACCCCTCCCAGAACACTTAGAGGCAAAGGCAGCTCCAAAGCAAGTTGAGGTCAGTCTGAACATTACTGAGCTTGGAAACATGGCCCAATTTTTGAAGCTGTTCCACTCCCTGACACTTTGTCCTCTGGTCTCAAACCCAACTTTCTGCCCCAGGTACTTAGCTCCTGAATCCCTAGTTGCTTAGGGATCATAATAATGAATTCAATTCAGCAAGTAAGAACATACCCACAATACACCCTTGTTTATGGCTGTTATAAGTTTAAGTCCTGAGCCTCTGAGCCAAACTCTTAGAAAGGGCCTCCTTAACCTTTGTTAATTACAAACTAAATAATACCAGCAGGAAGGGACTTTCTTTTTTAGGAATGACTTAGGTGGGATTCATGCCTTACATTGCACATACTCTGAAAGCTCCAACCCCAGAGTTAGGGTGATGTGATTCGTTCCAGCTCTCTCAGCACAGTTAATTCAAGGCTTGATCCCACAGGACAAGACTTTGGCACATGCCCTGCCTGGGAAGTAGCCTTGATGGGAGGATGGGGGGGTCAGCTAATGAGCTGTGCTTCCTTTCTGGCCATCAGCTTCCTCAACTGTAAAACGGCATAAGTAGAAAAATGGTAACAGTCTGCAAACACTGTTTACTCAGTAGGTGTCTGCCCTTGTGCTAAGCCCCTTACAAGAGATCATCTTGTTTCATATGAAGTTCATAATATTCTCATCCTTGTTTTACAGCTGAGGAAACTAGGGCTTCAAGAGATTCTGGAATTTGCCCAAGGTCACCCAGTTGGCAAGCAGTGTGGTCAGGGTTTGGGCCCAGTCATTCTGATCCCAAACCCATGCTTTGAACCATCCACTATACCTCCTCCTTTTCTCTGAAGACTTCTAACTCTGACCGCATGATTCTGGATCCTCTCCATGGTTTTCTACTCTCACCCCTGGTGCCAGAAAGAGAAAACATGTTTAGAAGTCTACTCTGCAAGACCAGAAGAAAACAGTCTCTGAAATGCAAGGGTTCCTCACGTTCTCTGTCTTGGAGATGCCAATCAAAGCTGGACACTTGACAGACTCCCATATCAGCAGGGAGCAGCCTGTGTGGAAGACAAACAAATCCTAGCCAGA